CGCCGTTACTTCCGACCGACACCGTCGAGAGCATCGCGTCGTCTGATTCGGAGTCGCCGATTTCTTCGGAGATCGCCGGAGATGAAGGGCCGGTGGCCATAGCATAATATGGGATGCGGTCTAGGTGACTTGTCCCCTGGATAGTTTGGATTGCGGGCATGCGCGTATATATGATGCATGTTGGTCACGTGACATGCACGTGAGAGAGGGCGGATCTTGCGGGGGAGAAAGAGGAGGAGATTGCACGTGGGGGCGGTTGTTGCTGATGTGGAAAAAAAACGTGGGTAAGAGGTGGGATCTTGGGGGACTTGGATCCTCTCCACTACAAAAAAGTAGTGGAGAAACCACTACTTTTAATCTTAAACGTTGATTATTTAGTAGGCGGTTATGATACAATCTAAATCTAACACTTACCATACCCCCGTGTATTGCACTTATTCCTAATTTGTACTAAAAGAAAAAATTATAACCATCAACTAGATAATCAATGGCTGTGATTATGTAGTGGTCCCTCCACTATTTTTTTATAGTGGAGAGGATCCGAATCCTATCAAAGAATGTGTTCTTTTGGAAATAATAGCCCCCCAAATCTTTGAAATTGCTCCATGGCCCTCCTAAATCTTTAATATGCTGATATTAGTCTCCCAAATCTTTAAAATTGATCTCAAACCCCTAGAATACTAATAGTATGTTGAAATAAGCCCCTGGTTGAAATGGGGGAAATTCTGTTAGTGATTTGCCAGTTATACTCCTCCCAGACAAACCCAAACCCATTAACTATTTTAATTTATACAAGTCAAGCTGCACAAATCCGTTTAATAAAACCTTACCTGTTGATGTCAATTATTGAACAGGGGGTTTACTTGTGGATTAGGGCGGTGTTAGGGGTCCTTAGCTTCCTCAGATTCTGTAGGCTGAAGTTCTCTCCTGCACATGAAGAACTCGTGAGAGGCCGAAGTTGGGTTCTCGGTTGTTCCTCCGACGATCAATGCAGTGGTTGATATCGAGTGGGAAAGTGAGAAGTAAATGGTGACTAAGAGTTTAGAGTTGCATGAAAAAAACAGAAGAAGTTACCCTAAGCAGGGTGACTTCCTTTTACAGTAGATCAGGATGGTAGATAGGTAACTGTGGCCGAGTCTAGCCAGTGACTCGGTCATCATCTATTGTACAGGTGTCAGCTGCTGAAGGGGGTGAGTCGCCTAGGCGTTTAATGTGGGGATGACAGGAAGTGCTTAGTGCTAACTGAGTCTGATGAGTCATAAAGACTATGGGGGTTAGAGCAATGATTACTCTGACAGTGTATTAAGGTCGAGGGTAGTCAGCTATTGGCGGGGGTTTCAAGGACACACCACCTCTCTGCTCGTTTGGCTGGATGTCGGCAAACACTACCTTTTTAGTCGGCCACGCAAGTTGTTGTCTAGAATAGTAGGCAGAAGGAGCAGCTCGAGTTGTCCATCTTTGAATATGTCTAATTGAGCATGGAACTGGACACATTCGGCCTCCCAAGGAAAATCAACACTTAGTTATTTGCAAGCTGTAACACTAGCCTAAACTCATTTCCACTTCATCTTCTCCAACATCTTCCATCGACGGCTCTCTTTAGTTCTAATCCAAATTTTGGATTGGGTAGACGTTAGAGAAGATGTTGGAGAAAATAAGGTGAAAAATATGTTTGTGTTGGGGTTTTATTAAATGTATTAATTTGGAGAGCTTAACGGATACAAGTTAAAGTGGTTAACGAGTTTAGGTTTGTCTGAGAGGGGTATAATTATCAAATCGATGAAAAAATTTAGATTAAACAAAATATTTCCTATATTTAACTAGATTTTAACTAGAGAGACTTGTTTCGACATACTGATATAATTTGAGGGGCCTGAGATCAATTTAGGAGGCTAATATCGTAATAACCCTTTAAAGTAATAAAGGTAAATAAGTTTGATAGAATGTAAAGTGTCATATATTAGGTCTCATGTTTATGAGCCTATTGTCTAATATGGTTTTGATGATTAATAAATAATTCTTAACATTGGTTGTCGAGTGTTTGCATTTAATTGTTAGGTATCCTACACAAAGATCCTATGTTGGAGGTTGGATGGACTTACGCATTCACGATGATATCTAAAGGAGGTTGGAAGGAAATCGGAATGAAGCTTTGCATTTCAAGTCAAAGACCTATATCGCTTCATCCCCGTAACCAAAACAATCTAATTGAAGATCCATTGTTTGGGTATAGTAGTTAGGTTTTTACTTTATGTGTTATGCTTAAAAGCTCAAACTACACACACACACACACATTTGTTTTGATTTATCACCGTATTTGGATTGTAGACTTAACAATACTATTTTATATCTTTCCTTAAGTCTATTAATCTGTTGAGAAGTATCTCAAAACTTGTTTGAAAAAATTTCATCAAAAAGTATTTAACAAACTCGCATTTTTGACTGTTTTGCAAAACAGTGAGTTTACGTTCTTGGGAAATGATATTTTAGAAATTCCTTTTCTAATATGTTTATTTTCAGATATATAAATATTTTCTCAAGTTTTATAATTTTTAGAGTTTATTTACTATTTAAATCAAATTTACAAAATCAACTCTTCAAGAAATTTCAGAAACTAGAATATCTGTTTTTTGGTCAGAGAGTTTTCACAAATGCGAAGTGATATTTCAGAAATTTCTTCTCTAACATGTTTATATTCATGTGTATAAATGTTTTTTAAAGTTTTACTATTTTTAGAGTTCATTTGCTATTTTTATTTGAATTTAGAAAATCAGCTTTTCAAAATTCAGGTTTCTATGAATAGTGCATAACTCGACCGATTTTTTTCCATAAGTCAACCGACCAGTATATATATAAGTCGACCGACCAGTGCACTTTTCAGCCTGAGTTTTTTCAGTCTCATCACTCGACTTATTACTTATATCAATTGACCGTTGAAGTGTTATCAGTCGACTGATTTTTCTCATCAGTCGACCGAATGGCTAATTTTCTGAATAACGGCTAGTTTTGGCTGGTTTCTTTGAGAGGCTATAAATAGCCCTCAAGACTTGGTTTTTTTAATAAGAGTTTTTACAAGGTTTTCAAGAGTATTTACACCAGTTTAATTCTAACTTTTGGTGTGTTTGCTTATGTGAAGAAAGTTTCACAAAGAGAAGATCTTAACTTCGGTTTTGAGGCGTTCAACCTCAAATCTTCATCTACATCTCTTTGTTTTCTTTAGAGAAGTTTTCTAAATTCATTCTCTAGCTTAATCTTCATTTTGATTTATATATATATATACAAGCTAGATTTACTTGAGTTTAATTTCATTTTTTTTGCTCATTGATATTCACACATAACCACTTGAGCTTTCGTGTTTCACATATAGTGTACTTGGGTTGTGAGAGTGTGCTTACAATTTCGTTCTCATCTTTGATGGAGAACAAAATATTTATTTGAGCTTATCATTGTTGAACACGTTGTAATACACAAAGACACTTAGATGAGTGGTTGGGAGAGGCCGGGGTCAATTCCAAGAGGAGTGGCTTGGTTGTAAAAGCGCATGGAGAGGTAGTAATTCCAAGCACTTGAGGAAGATGACACTGGTAGGCCAACACTTAGAGGAGTGTCTTGTGAGATTGACAATCATGTATATTGTAAAAGTTTTCGGTGAGCTTTAAAAACCGATTGTGTAGTGAATTTGTGATTAGTGGAGAATCTTCTCGAGGTGAGGAGCGGAGACGTAGGTCGATGGTTGACCGAACTCCGTGATCATATTGCTTATTTGTGTTTGGTATTGACGCACTTATTCTTGTGTTTATTTTCATATCGTCTTTTGTCTTATAGTTTATATCGCCTATTGTTTATTATATATTCTTGCATATATCACTTGTATATATCATATTGTTAGGATATTGTTAATAAGTTTTAATTTGGCGTTGTAATTGGATTAGATTAGCAATTACCCTATTCACCCCATAGGGTACTTTCATCATATTGTCCAAACTTAAAATTATATTTTCATTGTAGCAATATATTTATTACAAATCAGGTATTTATTTATCTGTAGTTTTACTACCCGTAATACGTGGAAATATCGTTGTAATTTCATAGAGTCTTACAGTCTGATAGTGAACATATTGTGGGTTGAAATTTCACTAACTTGGTGATATGACATTTATTTTCATTTTTTAAGCTTTTGAGTTAATATAGGGACTGACATTATTTAATTCAACCAATTTGATTACAGCAAGTGTAGAATCCTTTTTTCCCCAAAATACTTTAATTTAATTCCATTAATTCCCGAGTAATCAATTACTGACAAATTTATACTACTTTAAAAAGAGTATTAGGGTGTTAAAACTTTTAATTTTTTTCCCTCTCAAATTTTAATAAAGTACAACTATGTCATTATCTCTAATTATTTTTTTATTAAATAAATATAACCTTTTATTAATTATGCACCTCCTAATCTTCCTAAATAATTATAATTATCAAAATATTATAACTATCAATTTTTTTAAAATAATAAAATATAATAATTTATGAAATAAGTAATACACAATTATTATTAGTAACCAATTACATTATTATAATAATTATTTATGAATTATAATAAAATAATTAAAATAATAGTATAAATAGAACAATATATTACTAAATACTATTAAGAATTATACTATAATTCAATAAGCAATAAAATAAATAAAATAAATTTTTAATCACATAAATAGTGTGTAAATATTTTAATATTATTAGGTAAATTACGAATTACACTATTTTTTAGTATTATATTATTAAATAAATTAAATAAATAGTTTAATATTATTTTTAGAGTATTTTCTCAAAGATAATTATATGATACTAAATAATTTATACTTGGTAATGATTAAAAACTAACCTTTTTACCAAAAAAATATTTAATATTAATAATATTACTATCAATTGTTAATGATAGTATAATAAAAATTTATGAAATATTTATAGTACTAAACTGTTTAAGAGCATAGTTAAAAAATTAAATTAGATAAATACTTTTTATAGTTTATAGACAATATAATTATTTTAATAGTATTATTTGAACTAAGAGTTATAATATTAAATAAGGTAAATTACAGTAAGTCCTCATGAACTTTCAGCATTTCACAGTGAATTGACCTTATGAACTTTCAAAATCACACTAAACCTGTAATATCTTTTGTAGAAAGCCACTAATGTCTTTTAGATAAATTACACCAAACCTCCAATAACTTTCAAATTTTCTTTTTATGCCATTTTCTAGTTATTTTCTAGTTCTAATTTATAGGGCTTCTCTACAAAATTCAGAAATTTATTAGGGGTCTTCTTTGAAACAGAAAAGTCACTAGGGTTTTAGTGTAATTTTGAAAGTTCATATGGGCTGAAAGTTCATAAGGGTTTAGTGTAATTTACCCTATTAAATAATTATAATGAGAAGTAACTATTGCAATATATTGTAGGTATCAAGTGTAACTATCTAGGGAACATTAAGAAAAAGCTTGCAAAATAAATGTAGATTAGTTAATTTAGAGTTAATTTAACAATTTTTAACTTAGAGTGGCATATTTAAGAGAACTTACAGAATTTACAGTTTTATTTACGAACAATTTTAGATTTGGAGACTTATTTGAAAAAGATTAACAATAGGCGATCATTGTAAGAAAACATTCAATTGCAATAACTACACAATAATAATTAATTCATGCATTTCTTTTTGAGCCATTTTATTATACAATTTTATTTATTAACACATAGTCTTACTATTCAAAATAAAAAAAATTCAAAACTTAAAAGATGGGGGAAAAAATTGACATGTTTCGATTATACTAGACATGTTTCGATATGGAATCTATGTTTATTTTATTTTCTATTTAATAATGATGGGGGAAATTTTTGATAACTTCGTCTCTTTTTTGTTTATGTTATAAGTTAAAATAAAAAGCAATCCAAGAAGCCACATGCTCTTTGTAGTGTTCTTCTGTAAGTTGTTACGAAAAAAAGTATTCTTTTCTTTGTTTCGTCAGCTTAATATTGATAGAGTTTGTACCACTTGCGTTCTAAATTGAAAAAATTAGTTAATTAAAGGGGTTTTTGTTTTCCTCTCATGAAAATCACCCTTAAAATAAGAACATAAACCATATTTAAATATTAAGTTTATTGAATCCACCTTCAAATGAGGTTTTCCTTTCAGTTAACTATATTTTGGCAGTTTTTTAATTTTACCCTTAATTTCCCGAATATATGTTAATAGTAAGAGTAGAAATTATGTTATTAGTAAGAGTATTCTTGGAATTGAGGGTCAACATAGAAAACAAAAAATCTCACTTAAAAGTGATTTTGGTAACATAAAATTATTTTAATGACCAATGATTTATATGACTTTGACGTCAAGTAGTGATAAGGGAAGCTTAATACAACTAAATCGATCTTATAATGCATAACCTAGGCAGGTCAATAAAAAGCATAGAGAATGTTACCAAAATTGAAAAAATAAATCTACATAACATGTGTAATGTTAAGATTCATGCCTATAAAAAAAGAATAGATGCAGACCATGCAGTAAATAATCATAAAAGAGCGGCAAAAATATTAGGATTGTGATCCTCTACTAAGACACAGTACCTCCTAATGCATCTCCACCTTTCATTGCGATAGTACATCCTCGTATTTTGTGCTTATGCACATTTATTACTATTATTATTATTATTTTAAGAGCTACAATGAATACAGAGAGCTAAACCATAATTGTTTACAGAAAATCTTTGGAATGAAAGTAATCTAAGCACTTGATATCAATAAGTTTCCATTAATATTGAACATAAGCACCATTTCTATGTTTTCCACAAAGCCTCCTCAAAACTCTTGACATTCATGCACAAAGGAACAAAGTCAACATGCCAACAAATTACGTGGTAGTCCAATAAAAAATTGTATGCATTTACACCACAAATGGCATGTAAAGCCAAGTATAATTTACACAAATAAAGTGTTTGCAGCAAATTCCTATATAAAATGATAAAATCCTTAGCTCATGAATAGGCTATAATTATCATCAATCAGCGTGAGGCTAGCCATGAAGGTGGAAGGCCACTAATTATTTCTAGCTGCTTTCATGCAGTTCAACAAGAAAATATGTCGCGTTTTGTGTGAAAGCAGCGAAGCACAAGGAATTGTCTTTCAGACACTTGGATATACTTTTTGCTTGATTTAAACTTACAGTGAATTTTGATTAAAAAAAAGTTCGGGAAATATGTAGTAAGCCCATATCAAAAATTGAGGTTTGATTTCACACCAAAAAAACCTAATTATTTCTTCTTCCCGCGAATCGTACCAATAGATTATCGTATGTTCGCCCAACATGCAGCAATCGTGGATCATCTGCTGGTATTTCTCGTTCCTGAGGGGGGAAAAAAGAAAAAAATTCATCATAAATGCTCGACTAATATCCCTTGGACAAAATAAGAGAAAAGAGAAGGAAATGAGTTAAGGAAATCAAAATGAGGGAGCGGTTTATTGATTGGGTATTTACACATGCTGCAGTATAATTACCGCTGATCCAAACCGAACAGAACAGATACAATGCCAAAAAATCACAATCTAGGTGAAGACCTTTTTTTTTTGCTCCTTTCCTCCCTCTTTATATATGTAAATAACCTCATCCTCATTTTATGATGTCGGATAAATAAATAAAATGAAAAGTTATCGAACCCTTGAAGCTGGAAAGATGAATCTAAAAAGAGCATTGTATTCTAACCAGGATAAAGAACAGGATCACTTGCATTGGCAGAATACTACGATAATAACATGCGAGAATTTGATGTATGATAAGAACAAAGAAGTATATTTGAATTTGGTGGAGGCTTTGATGCTGCTGACATTGTTATTTGTTGAGAGTGAGAGTCTAGTTCACATCGATGTTATTCATTTGATAAAAAGATGGCTCATCGAACTACTTGAAACCTCCAAACATGGACCCTAATCAAATTACAAATAAATATAATTACCTTTAGACCCTTGTAATAGGCTTCCACCGCAGGAAGGTATGGAGTAATATTACGGTGTTGCAAAATATCCCAAATGAAGTTGGCAGTAGTGTATCCACCCTCCTGCACAGAGTCACAGTTAATCTATCAGGTTTGACAAATAAAGAATTAGGCTTCTATTGTTGAAAACATTACATAAACAGACGGATCAACATATGGATGACGAGTAGCTACTAGACATTATTACAATAATTACCAAGTTTTCATAATGATCCTCTTCCGTAAAATACCAAGCGCAAAACATTGAAAATAATCTACCAATCACCAGAAGCATTTAGTGGCTAAATATAATCAAAAGCTCACCTTTTCTCCTGCAGCTGCAAGAAGGAGATCACTTCCCATCTTGGGATTCAAGAACAATCCTTTAGCGTTCATTTGCTCCTTCAGGGGATTAATGAATTCATTAAATAAGCTTAAAAAAGTTAACGTTAAATATATCAAAATTTAGAAGAGGTAAATACCAGAGCATCTTGAGCGATCTTCATTCCTCTAGGTGTATATCCAACCATTGCTCCCTCGATGAATGTCTACAACATCACAGGCGAGGAAATTAACGGGTGCATCCCAACATATAGAGACGATCATTTCATGGAAAAATTGTTCCAAGGTCAAGGAAGACTAGTAGAAATATATAATACAAAGAAAACTCAAATAGGTAAAATTTTAAATGGTAGTTCAAGCCTTTTCGTTTCAAGCATACAACTTTTTCTCTCCCTAGCATGGGGTAATGCAAAGAAAATGAATAAACATATACATCTGGTGACCTACTTCAATAGCTACATTTTAATACACTATAGGATCAAACATAATTTTGCACGTGACAGAAGAAATTGAGCAAATAATCAGTTCTTGAAGTTAAGAGCAATTATCCTTGACCATAAGAGCAATTCTCTTTGAGCTATGAGATACATAGCGCAACGTCCAAAATTCAGTTCCAATTTGAGTTTTGATTTCAGTTCGAGCTCCACTTTTGTATTTTACTTTCAGCAGTTTCTAGGCTTGTAGACAGTTCTGGATTTCACTTTATGGAAATGATTTTTGTAGTAATTAATCGATAGCATACACAGGGTTCTTTTTTTAATATAATTGTTCAATTGGATTTCCATCTGTTACTTTAAGTTAAATTGGATTTCACTCAGATATTTGTGGGCCAGAGGACTAAAACAAGAGTTCGTACATGAAAAACGAAAAATGAGAAACTCATGCAGCAACATAAGAGAAATCATTTAGGTATATAACATAGAACTACCATAATGCAAGAGGATTAATTTTGGAGCATATTGTGTAAAAGAAGTTCCAAGACTCCCAACTTCAAATCCTAAAAAATCCAAAAGCCCAATTGATAAAGAATAACAAATCATCAGTTCCTATCATTTCAACCCAAGCCCGCCCAAGTAATTAACAATAAGCTGAGCAGCAACAATTTGTATTCCCTCATCCTTATAACTTTACATCAATCCCACAGCCTCCTTTCCTTTGCAAGGCAGACAGGGGTCACAAGTACACTGATCTCCCCAGACCCCACCTTTCCTTTCTTTCTAATAGTCAAATTAATCTTTGATTATATTTTTATCACAAATAAATTTCAGAATAGCCAAATGCTTCCACTGTGTAACAGTAGTCAAGGATCATAATGCTAGCAGGTATTCTGACAACTCCACAGATCTTTGAAATTAAATGCACATCTAGATCAATAAGAGATGACACATATATTTACCGTGAACATCTCAGCTGCTGGTGTCCTTGAGCTTGTATACTCTTCAAACATCTTCACAGCAGAATCAATATCCCCACAGTGAAAATAACACCTGCTCCGAAAGTATTTAATCAAAATGGTGATCCAAAATATTTTACTAGAACCTAGAGGGGTGAGACTAGACATTTCACAGCTAAACAATATTGGGGGGAAATGATTAAACCAGCGGTGCAAAATTTCAGGAAAAATAGAAGCAACTATGTCTCATAAATATCACACATCAGTATGCTGATTACAGCAACTTCACCATTATGAAGGAATAATAATAAACCCGGTAAACTGTCAATAACGAAATTAGGAAATGTTTCCAGGTGAAAATACCCTTGCTTGCGGGAAGAATTAATATCATTGCTCTACATAAAAAATGGAAAAAAGTGAAATAAGTTTCTTTTTCCCATTAAAATATGACAAGTTGCAGTTAAAGAACTAAAGCTTACATACTCGATAGGTTCGGATATCATATTTTATAAAAGTATTTGAAGCATTTATTGTCTCACGCAAATCCATCAACTCTGGCAGTTGCTCAAAAAGAGAGAATTTCACTACTGATTAATGGGCTAAATAGACTCCACTCTTGCAGTTCTAGAGGAAGAAGACAAGGGAATAATTCGTCTCAGTCCTTTTATTTCAGCATCGGATATGTCAAGCTGGAGGACCATGAAGCTTGTTGAGGAAAAGGTTGTCATACCTTTCGAAATTAAAAATGAATGTTTTATTGTGTCTCACATTCGTCTAGCTGATAACAATCTATATTCTCTAATTCAAGGGGGGGGGGGGGGGGGGGAAAAAAAAAATTTATNNNNGGGGGGGGGGGGGGGAGGAAAAAAAACAATTTATAACTTTATGAGAATTGTTTCAGACCAAAAATAATGAATATAACTGAATTCTTTGTGGCTCAAATGCTTATATCAGTTCTAGAGTTGAAATTATCAAAAGAATCAGAGGAAACGGACATGGCCAGCTGGCTTTCACTTACAAGGCTCTCCATTCTACTCCTAAAGATGCAAATCATCCACTGTCAATAATTCAGAAAAAAGGTAAGATCCAAAATTCAATTATAGATAAATCATACCTCATGGTGGTAAGATTTATTTCTACTTACTTCAAAATAAACATGCAGTTCAATTTCTTCCTAGTTTGTTGTTCTGAGAAGCGTATGCTTCTAATATATCAAAAGACAAAAGTAGAGTCTCTTATAGAAAAACTTTTTTAATGGGAATGAATACATATCACTACTGATAGATTGACGAAGGATACATGAACTATAGATGCAGGTGGTCCGGCTACTGGAATTCTATCAGAAGCTTTGACGTATTTAAGCTGAAAAATGATTGGTGACTAGCGTGAAATGTACCATGCAGCCCACATTTCTTAGAGAAAAGCAAATCAATAGAAGAGAAAGTTTTTAAGTTACCTTATTGCTTGCGTTGCAATATATCCATCATAATTCCGACCTTCCTGATTCAGCATATCAAGAAGTGCTTCGAGTGTCTACACAAGAAAAACAATAAATTAGGTACAAGTTACTATTGTCATGACACTACAATTATTTTGTTGGAGCCTGCAGGAAGTAGTCACATTCGAACCACATAAGGACACTTACAGTTTAACTCTCAAGTCCATATATCTAGAAGCGAAAGATGAGCTTTAAAATATGCAAGTATATACATGAATTACCTTAAGAAATGATGTATGAAGATATGGTTTAGATATCATATTAGATTTTCAAGGATAGACATAACAGAATAGTTTTATGACAGGAAATAGTCCACTTTCCAAACTTCCAACTTAATAACACACATTCTTACCTTTGTGATTCCACTCTCGTCCATTACCTGGGTAACTTCTTACCTAAAACCTATAAGCATGCACGGATTTTCTGAGATGGTATAATAACTCTAGCATGTTTGTTTGGAAAAGTTTGTGACATGGAAGAAAAGGAGAAAAATGACTTTGTCCAGAAATTCAAACTTCAGAGGAGAAAATAACTAGTGTAAGAGGATGCCCGAAAGCCAAAATGCCCAAGCATGCTAAAGGAAAAGATTATTCCTTGATCAATCATGATGATCTGTCAATGAGAATCTAAGACATGCTCTAACAATTACAGCCTATACTGAGGCATAACCTAAGGGAAAAATACCACTGATGGTTACACGATGTTAGGGTAAATATAATGAGTACTACTGTAATTAACCAACTATAATCTTAGTTCTAACAGTTTACACACAATGAGAGGAAAAGGAAAAGAAGAAACTCCATCACTCATCCACACACACATCTCAAAGAACAGTATAGAAGGTGGAATAAATTAATTGGAAAGGACTCTAGAACTATAGGGTACAACTTAAGTTGGAAGGTAGAATGGTAAGCAATGAACTTATGGAGGTTTTAAAAATCTCCTTGTGCTCTATAAGATTTCTAATAGGAATGGATGAGTTGGAGATGAAATAATAAGGATCTGAATCTGTGTCCAGGACTTCACTTGGTAATCAGGTTATCTTACAGAGTTGTGAAGATTCAAAGAATTGTTTGATGTGAAATGGGGATTTAGGGATGATTTAACCAGAGTATCCTTTGAAGTTTTCATAGGAAGAAAAGGTAATCAACGAGGTAGGCATGCAGTTTGGGAATCTCTATCGTAGGATGTAAAAAAGACAGACTATTGAAACGTTGGTCCACCATAAGAAAGACAATCAAATAACAGGTTCGAAAAATTTTACATTGTCCTACCAAAATTACCAATAAAATATTATTTGTACCTAAATGATGGAACTCAATGACTAGAATGAACATGGTTATGCTAGACTAATCTATCTGCAATAATCCTAATTTTCCTATTATTAATGAATGCAATAGATATATTTGGATTGAAGTATATCAGTTTGTAATTAATAGCGTATGGAAGGAGTATTCTACAAATAATATTTATTGACATAATTTCATATATTTTTTCATGTTTGAGAGGGTTAAATGGAAAACTGAAAACTAAAATAACCTACTTAACAAGCTGCCGCCTCTTGAACCAAAAGGGACAAAAAAAAGAGGTGGAAGAAAAAAATGAGGCACTCGGGTATTTGTTGAAAGGGGAAGAGATGATTTGATTCAAAGGGAACATTAAGGTAGAATCATATCGTCGTCTCTAGCAATATATAGGTAGAATGCTATCATCATATCCAGAATTTCATTTTTTATGGTTTAGGGTATGTAGCTTCAACCAATTTTACTATTATTTTTGGATCTTGCGCTAGTTGTTGGTCGGCCATGACTTCATGATGTTATGCCTTGTTCTCATAGCCATGAAAAAATCCATTAGCCTAGTACAGCTTGTTCACCTCTTCTATAATTCTTGTATAAAGTAACCATGATTGTCCACAAGTATCTGATGTTGTCCATCATTAAAGATCTTTGTCTTTCCTGTTAAAAAGAGAAAACCACGTAGTTTACTTAGTACTTAGTATAAAATAGTGTTATCGAATCCTGAATATGATCTAACGTATTAGTTAATTCGTAGAGTGCAATAGTACAGTAGTTGCTTGCATGTATTCTATAGGGGTTACTAGAGACTCCACAGAGGCGTCGTGAGTGGTACTTCGATTGTCTTTCATGTTTGTGGTAGGTGATAAATTTATACGTTATCCATTGTGTTTTTTTTAATCTAAAAGTTATCTTATATAAGTGAATTATTTCATGACGAATTATATCTTTTTGGATGATTTACTCGCATATCAATTGTTAATGAGGTCGTGTTTGTGATGCACAGATATTTTGGTGTAAGTCCATGCTTATTTTTCTTTATCGACAATCATGTCTTTTTCACAAGATAATAAACTGAGATGCATATGTGGTTTAGTTTTTTCATTGTCGATTTGCTTTTAGCATATTTAATAAAATATTTGGTTATATAAACTTTGTTCAAATAATTGAAAACATACACATCTCATGTAATATATCGGTATACGCCGGGGATAAGTAAATCATCTAAATAGGGCTTGACGTACGTCTATGAGGTTTATTTTAGCACTCAGTCTAAAATTTTGGGTCACGTATCTAATACTACGGAATTAATAGAAGTGGTCGTGTCAACCAGGGTTTTAATTATTGACCGCGTTAAGACTTGGTCTAGTTATTTTTCATAGCATGAATCTATATTTTAAAAACGTTGCATCAAGTATAAGAGTTTATTGATGATTTTCTACTAATTTAATATTTTACTTATGAAGTCAAAATATTTTAGTTTTTGTCAAAACAGTGTTCAAATTCATCCACTTATTGAGTTGTGAACTCATTGCGTTTAGTTCACTTTGTTCAGAGACTCAAGATTAGGTGGAGTTGATGGTTTCCAAGTCCTTAGAAGGAAGCAAGAAATAAATTGCATATTGTTATTTCTTTTAGGTGAATGTTAAATAAAGGCTTTGATTGTTAGTTGATTTTTGGAAGATTATGTAGTAATAAGATTCTCTTTTAGGTTGAATCTTATTTTCTAGTTGGGAGAACTTTTATATACATCATTTGATTAGATAAATATAGATCTTTGATCATAGAGAATAGTTTTTGTTGGTTATTGAATTCAATGATGAGATTCTTTTTGTGGTTATTTGATGAATGTATATTTTTGAAGAATATTTTAACAGGTTTAGTCTAGCTCCAATGTTCCTTTGAGGTCCGGAAATTGGAGTCGTGACACCATTTACATGCATTACATATCGTCACAACACTTCAAGCAATTACACTTGCATGCTAGATTGATGCATACGCCAGAAAATCCAAGAACACAGACCTTAAGTAATCTTAAAGTCCGGGAGTGTTAGGAAAAAATAATCATACCTCTTTACTCCTTAGTTCTGGGGAGTGTTAGGAAAAAATAATCATACCTCTTTACTCCTTAGTTCTGCACAAGCATGCACTGCAACATGATATATGGTCAGCCCCCTGTTCAAAAATGCCTTCCTGTGCACAAAATCAGCAGTTGGCATATTGTATAATTCTTCCTCTGAAACATTCATCATCACATTCTCGCCACCATCACTTGAAGCATCAGGTGAAGTCCAGCCTTTTGATTGTTTGACATACTCAATAATCTTTTCAAGTGCATAGTTAGATGCAAAATAGATGTAACATAAAAGAAATACAGAGAACAAGGCATAAAATATACTTTTGCTAATGTCTCGTCAGTAGTGGGCAACTTGTTTTTATAAGCAGATATGAGTCCAGCATAACAAAATTTGTTCAAGCCCAAACCAGCAGCAGTCATATCACTGATAATTGAAGACCTATCAAATCAAATGCGCAACTTGAAGTTAATGAGAATCGCCAATGCATCACATTAAGTAGATTAAAATAGAATAATTTTTCAAAACAGGCCGATTTAGCTTTTTATTTTTTAAAATCGACCGTTTTGTTTTATTTATCAAAATCGACCCGGTTTTATGATTAGCAGGTTAATCACTATCCTAAATAGTCGGGGTTGCCAACCCCGACTATTTAGGATAGTTATTAACCCTAATTAAAGGCCTTAAACCCTAAAAATTAATGTCCTAATTAGTCGGGGTTGGCAACCCCGACTATTTAGGATTGTGATTAGCCTGCTAATCACAAAACCGGGTCGATTTTGATAAATAAATAAAAAAACGGTCGATTTTGAAAAATAAAAAACTAAATCGGCCTATTTTGAAAAATTGTTCATTAAAATACATGGCAGAAATCAATTGTTATAGCAACCACATGATAATTAAGATAGGGAGTAAATAAACCAAGAGATGACTAAACTCATGATCATATAGAAGCATTAACCATCAACGATAGAAGCAAATTGTTCGGAGGCTAAAAGTAACTACCTCAACACCTCTTGCTTCAATAAATATATTTCTGAAAGTAAACGATTGATACTTGCCATCAGAGTTTATACTGATTTTACATTTAGAAGATGCCTTCATGAAACAATACTTTGATACTGACAAATCAATTTCACAAATGTAAGCTCAAAATAATTAGACAGATATTCATTTGAATCAAGTTTCTAATTCATATGGACATTCTAGTAATTTACTTCAAATCTATGGAAAAATAACTATTCCTCAGCAGATGCATACCAGGTTATCCTCATGCTCAATGGTCCAAGATGCGCCAAGTTGAGCTTTAATTTCTAACCTAATACTCGAGTTATATTTATTTTTTGTTTGCTTAGTAATTGTTGAAATGTGTTTGTTACTCTTTATATACGTTATAACTTACTCACTAACCCATTAATTAAGTGATTTAATATTGTTAAATTTTGCTTGAAGTGTTTCGGTAGTCAGTCATCATTTTATTTGCATGTAACTACAAGAATCTAAGTCTTCTAGATATTTTTACACTTCTTCCATTTTTTATTTATGGTGTTCTTGTATTAATCTTAGTTTTGTTATTATCCTTTTTTCGCTTGAACTCCCTAGATTGCCCATGTATAGAACACAGGGTATGCGCCAGCATATTTTATACTGGCATATAGTATTTTTTTAAAATCGCATATGATGAACATAATTTTAATATATACATATAATTTTAATATAAATACACACGTGTTAAACATGTGTACATTAAGAGAAATATACATAGTTGTGTCCTCATGCTCGGATCATAAATTATCCAATACCACATGCTGTGTTGAGTACAACACTAATATCCATGTAGAAAACATAGAATATGATAATGGTAGGTGTGTACGGTGATTTGTAGTGCATGCAACAGACCATCATATCATTATTAGCTTGACAAAGAGGTTAGGTTGATGTTTGTATCCTCCACATTCAAAAGTCAAATGCTTTCAACTTCAGCTATGTTTTAGAGCATTACAACTCCATTGGTTACTTTCGAATGAGATTTAAGCACACATTTAGCTTAGTATAATGGCTCATCTAATAGTAATAGATTATAGATTTATAGTAGGTTATTAAGCATTAGATAGTTCCCAATTCATAGATCCTCCATCGAAGAGCTACACAATTGTAAGCACTTAATTAGAGAGTAGGTTAAACATCATACACTTGATCAGTGCGCCCAGTTGCTGCACAAGCATTAAGAAGACAAATGTACGTCTCTCCTTTCGGCTTCACCCCAAATACCTTCATTTCTTCGAAAAGCTTTAAACAACGAATGAGAATTTAAATAACATGTCAACGATC